TTTCCAAGTTCTAGTTACTTAATATGGCTGAAATGGGAAACAAGGATATTGTTTCCTAATTTTGTTATTAGCCCTGATTCTAGTTTTGTTTCTTATTCTTGTTTCCTTTCCTACTTAGAACTCTAAGCATCCTCTCTATATAAAAAGGTTTTTGCTATGGAATAAAGTACGTTTTTGGAGAATTGATTTGTGCGTCTTGACAAGGTCGGGCGCCGATTAATTTAACAAGAATATCTTTATTAAAATCTGCTGATTACATTTCTCTTTCCCAATTAATATCTTGAACGCATCCCTGTACTAGGGCTAGCTCTCGCCTTCTTAACAATTTGGTATCAGATTTGGGCACGATGGGCAACGCTCCGGTGACAACATAAGCGTTAAAGGCCTTACTACAAGGTGTCGATCAATGACAACTTGACGTTGAAGAACAGTTAGTCGATATCAAGAACACTGTAACCGACTTGGCAGGAATTCCAGCAGCTTTTGCTAAGATGAGTAAAACTATGACCAGCATGTCAAACACTGTAAACCAATCGTTGCAGGATCCACCACCATCCAGTCTACATGTTGGACAGCCACGGCATACCAATAACCACCAACGCGACTCCGGCGATGGGATGGTTCCACAGTACTCCAAGTTGGAGTTTCCCAAGTACGATGGATCCAGTGATTCATTAGCGTGGCTGAAGCGGTGCGAGCGGTTCTTCATCCTACAACGCATTTTACCGCAAACATAAGTAAGGTTGGCTACTTTCACATGCCTAGTAATGCCCAACTTTGGGCGGACCAGTTAGATCCTGCGTGAGTAAGCCTTAATTGGAAAGAGTTCTATATGCGTTGTTCAAAACGATTTGGGCCCCCAAGCAGCCACAACCCGGAAGTCCCGGAGGGTGATCTGGTGAATTTAAAGCAAACGTCTAACTTAGAGTCTTATATTACTAAGTTTCAACAATTGAGATGGATAGTCTACCCGGGGGTATGTATCCGAAGGGTTACTGCGGGGAGTAACTAGAGAGAAGTCAGAGCAAATAAGTAAGAGAGAGAGAGTGTATATTCGGTATGTATTAAGCGTGGTTTACAATGGAGGAAAGGGGTGCTATTTATAGTAGCAATAAATGCTAGATAAGGACACGTGTCAGTTTTCTGGTGGTCGAGGGGTCACCTCGACCGGGGTGGCACTGGCACTCGCATGTGGTCACATTAAATGTGGTGGTTGGATGTGACGTTTGTACTTGGTACGGTGATCCAGGCGCATGTGAAGAGGATATTCTGTCGAGGTGGATGCCTTCGGCTGAAGGGTGCTGGGCCGAAGGCTCTTCTAACCGAGGGTTCCTACCTGCCGAGGGCTGCAGGTGCCGAAGGCTTGGTTTTCAAGCCTTGTTCTCCTGTGATGCCTCTTCTAACTGAAGGCTCCTACCTGCCGAGGGCTTTAGTTGCCGAAGGCTTGGTTTTCAAGCCTTGTTCTCCTGTGATGTTTCTAGCTCGATTCTGTCACTGGTAGCCTTCGGCCATGGGGCCGAAGGCACCCAGTTGCGTATTGTGGGCTGCTTAGAGCTCCATTTTGCTGGGCTTGGCCCGTTTGGGCCTGTTGGGCCTGATTGTAGTAGAGGAAGTATGTGGGTCGGGGGTCCCTGGGCCATATACTCCATCAGAAGTCCCCCACTCCTTTTGCTGAAAGGTACTTGAGGGAAAAGGAGTAGTTGTGGTGATTGCCCCGAAGGCTTCCCTGTTCTGTTGGGTGCCTCATTTTCTCAATTCCCCCATATGTCAAGGGCTGAGAGCTTCCTGAAGGGAGTGTAAGTGTGTTGCTCGTATGTGTTTCTTTGTTGTAGTTTGTAAAGTAATGAGAGATCTGCATTTGTGTGCTTTGCCGAGGGCATTTGTTGACTGAAGGCCTTGTGTGGCTGAAGGCATCATGTGGCCGAAGGCATTGTGTGGCCAGAGGCATCATGTGGCCGAAGGCATTGTGTGGCCGGAGGCATTCTGTAAGCCGAAGGTATCATGTCGAGGGAGTAGATTGCCGTTGTGATCTTGCCTCAGCTTGCTGTAGCTGAGAAATAGAATTTTTTTAACATTTGCGTGTTTTGCCGAGGGGAGTCCCCCAGTCTCCCACTCCTTTTGCCGAGAGTTTCTCGAGGGAAACAGGAGTAGAGTGATGAATGCCTTAGCAGGAGCCACCGAGGGGTGACGCCTTTTGTTCCACAATGGGGAGATGCCTCGTTAAAAACCTCATTAGGAAAAAACCCTGTGGGAAAAAATCCTAATGAGGGAAAAAGAGTACACCGAATGCCCTCAGAATGAAGCAAAAGGAGTGCACCCTTCGGCCTTAATTGTTGAGCGGCGGTTGTGTCCGTCAGCTGAGGGGATATCCAAGATCAGCCTTAGATCCTGCATGAAAAAGCTAAGGAGCTTGTAAGGACCCCCCCCCCCCCCCCCCGTTATCAAATAAAGGTGACGGAGGGGTGCAAGGCCAGGTGGGCTTGTGTGAGAGCCCCTGGCATCAAATACAGATGCCAAAGGGATGGAGATCGAGGGGTCTTCGTGATGGCCCCCGACATCAAATAAAGATGTCGGAGGGATGAAGGCCGAGGGGCCTGTATGATAGCTCCCAACATCTAATAAAGATGTCGGAGGGCTGAAGGCCGATGGCCTGTGTGATGGCCCTCGACATCAAATAAAGATGTCGGAGGGATGAAGGCCGATGGGCCTGTATGATAGCCCCTGGCATCATATAAAGATGCCGGAGGGATGAAGGCTGAGGGACCTGTGTGATTGCCCCCGACATCAAATAAAGATGCCGGAGGGATGAAGGCCGATGGGCCTGTATGATAGCCCCCTACATCAAATAAAGATGTCGGAGGGATGAAGGCCGAGGGGCCTATGTGATGGCCCTCGACATCAAATAAAGATGCCAGAGGGATGAAGGCCGATGGGCCTGTATGATAGCCCCCGACATCAAATAAAATGCCGGAGGGATGAAGGCCGAGGGTTGCTGTGATGTGGAATCACGCTGAGGCTGAGGGCCGTTGTGATGTTGAGGCTGAGGGCCATTGTGATGTGGAATCACGCTGAAGCCGAGAGCCGTTGTTGATGTAGAATCACGTTGAGGCCAAGGGCCTTTGGTGATGTGAAATCATGTAAGGCAAAAACCGTTATGACATAGAGTCATGTTGAGGCCGAGGGCCGTCTGATGTTGAGGCTGAGTACCATTGTGATGTCCTCACGCTGAGGCCGAGGGGCGTTGTTGATGTTGAGGCCGAGGGCCGTTGTGATGTGGAATCACGCTGAAGCCGAGAGTCGTTGTTGATGTAGAATCACGTTGAGGCCGAGGGACTTTGGTGATGTGAAATCATGTAAGGCAAAAACCGTTATGACATAGAGTCATGTTGAGGCCGAGGGCCGTCTGATGTTGAGGCCGAGGGCCATTGTGATGTCCTCACGCTGAGGCCGAGGGCCGTTGTTGATGTTGAGGTCGAGGGCCGTTCTGATGCTGAGGTCGAGGGCCGTTGTTGATGTTGAGGCCGAGGGCCGTTATGATGTTGAGGCCGAGGGCCGTTGTTGATTTCGAGACCAAGGACCGTTCTGATGTTGAGGCCAGGGTCGTTGTGTTGTGGAATCACGCTGAGACCAAGGGCCGTTGGTGATGTGAGATCATGCTAAGGCCAAAACCGTTGTGGCGTAGAGTGCTGGGCCTTCGGCTGAAGGGTGCTGGGCCGAAGGCTCTTCTAACCGAGGGCTCCTACCTGCCGAGGGCTGCAGGTGCCAAAGGCTTGGTTTTCAAGCCTTGTTCTCCTGTGATGCCCCTTCTAACCGAGGGCTCCTACCTGCCAAGGGCTGTAGTTGACGAAGGCTTGGTTTTCAAGCCTTGTTCTCCTGTGATGTTTCTGAGCTCGATTCTGTCACTGGTAGCCTTCGACCATGGGGCCGAAGGCACCCCGTTGCGTATTGTGGGCTGCTTAGAGCTCCATTTTGCTGGGCTTGGCCCGTTTGGGCCTGTTGGGTCTGATTGTAGTAGAGGAAGTATGTGGGCCGGGGGTCCCTGGGCCATATACTCCATCAAATTGCTAGCCCGAACAGATGGAGTGTCGACTCGCATGCAAATCAAAATTTTTATGGCTGGACTTCGAGAGACAGTACGAGTGGAGGTCGAATACCAAGAACCCGTTGATCTTGACACAACCATGATGCTCACCAGAAGCAGCGAGCATAAATTCCTCGCAGCTGCGACCTCAACAAACAACAGTACATATGGATCTGGTAGATCAAGCACTCAAATTCCTCACTCCATTATCCCTCAGACGACACTAGTAAAGAAAAATTACAACCCTACGTTTAAAAAATTAACCCGACCTGAAGCTGCTGCATGACAAGAAAAAGGATTATGCTACAACTGTGATGAAAAGTGGATCTGTGGCCACTGGTGCAAATGATTATTTTTCGCCGAAATTGTGGATGACGACTTTCAAGAGGCCCCCGAGACCCATAGTGAGCCGTCCTTGTCAATCAACGCAATGACTGAGTTCAGGGCACATTCCACCATGCAACTAGCCGCAACCTTGTTTGGTTAGTCCCCGAAGGTTTTGGTCGACTCGGAAAGTGGAAAAATCTTTTAGAATATTTTTATATAAATAAGAAACTTTACTAGAAAGTGAGGTTTAATGCATCAAACCCTCTCGTGATATAGAAATTCGGCGCATTAGGCCTCTGTGATTTAAAAAATGCATACCCCCTGTGTTTTAATTAATCATGTTCAAAATCCCTTTTATGAACAAATATATTTAATTGACAAATAAAAGAAAAATGACTAACATTTTTATATGATTTAGAAATTCTGACATAATTACTTTCATATTCAATCAAAATATTAGAAAAAATGCTTTCCAAATCATTAAATCTATTCACAAAAGAAATTATGTACATGATTAATTAAAAGATAAGGGGGTTTGAGATGATTTGATATGTGACATTTTTGAGCATAAAAAGAAAAAAAAATCACATAACCAACTTGGGCAAGAACCGGATAACATTCCCCACACGTGTCATACTGTTGACCACGTACTCCTACAATACAATCAGTCAATCACACAGATATGGTAAGATATCAGCCGTATCAATGTTTTCCGATATCTTTTTTCGAAAATAAATACCACCTCCGATTCCGGTTGCTCCCATCATCTTCACCGGATTTCGGGGCAATCAGTCAATTCAAGGGAGTGAAAATGTTGACTAGGGTTAATCTGACTGTGATTTTGATGATCTGCGCCATCGCAATCTCAGCCGTCGGTGCGAAGAATCATGTCCAACTTGGTGCATCTCCCCCGACATGCAAACGGATCGAGTGTCCTGTATATGATGTGATCGAATCTGGCAAGGACTATGAGATTCGCCGCTACAGTTCCGCCATGTGGATGTCTACAGCTCCCATTGATGATACCTCTCTTGTTAAAGCTACCCAGACCGGCTTCATTCGGTGAGAACAGCTCAATTATGCATTTCTCTTTATTTTTCTGCGAATGTGAAAATGCTTTGACAAGTTCAAATTGGACCCGATCTTTTTTTGCTTTGCTTCTCGAACTTAGAAACTGTCTGTAGTCTGTACTCTGTTCTCCAATAGAATGTGCCAATACTCTAATCCGCTTCGTCATACTATGAAATCGGGGTTGAGATTAACAGAATGATTATGAAAAAAGTGTATTTAAAATCAATGTGAAGAAAATTTATACTATGTATAAAAATGTGATTCCGAAAAAAGGATTTGTTAAAAAAGATTGACTGATTGTGATTACGATATCTTTAGGTAAACGCCCGGTGGAAGTATGTCTTTAGTATTATCGAATTCTATTCGGAAAAGTAATGATTTTTCCAATGTAATGTACTATTGTGGTGCACTTCTCCAACAGAGGTTACCGAAGATCAAATTTCTTGGTTGATTTGGACTTCCAGTACCTGAAAAAAGTTTTAAAAATTTAAAGTATCAAGTCTTTGCATAATAATACAAAATGAAATAACTTCTTTCATTTTGAAATTATCAAGTTATTTGAGTAAACATGTTATGTTGTAGTATTGTTTATGGAATTTTCTCAAAATAACACAATTACTCAAATAACTCCAGTATTTTTCTTAATCAAAGTATGACTGTCACTCCCAAACAAGAAGTTTAACGGCCTTTATTCTTTTATTAAGACCAAATAAGTCCTTTGTTAACAATAAAAACAAGTACTCCTGTTGATGTTCTTTTATGCAGTGCACTTAAGTTTTACTCACATTTGCATCAATTTCTTTTATGTTTTCTAGTTTTCGGGTTAACAGCTTAACTGTACTCAATTGTGTTGTTCATGTTTGCAAAAGTCATCCGCACGGATTTATGGATGATTCATGTTAGCTGATCCAAGTCTGTTGTTGTTGTATGTTTGCAAAAGTAATCCGTTGTATCTCTTAGCCTTGGTTTGGCTGGAGGCTCTCTAGATGAAGGGAGGGAAAGTACAGAAATTATGACATGCATTTCTTCTGTTCCTCAATAATTTTGCTCTTTGTTTTGTAGGCTATTTGACTACATATCAGGAGATAATACCTACCATAAGAAAGTAGAAATGACAGCCCCTGTAATAACACAAGTGAAACCGAGCGATGGACCTTTTTGTAAATCGTCGTTTGTGGTGAGCTTTTACGTTCCGAAGGCGAACCAGCAGGACCCGCCTCCATCACCATCCCTACACTTGCAAAAGTGGGGAGAAACATACGTAGCCGTGAGACAATTCGGCGGGTATGTCTCGGATTCTGACGTTGGGAAGCAAGCGGCAGAGCTGAGTGCTAGCCTTAATGGGACAGTGTGGCTGGACGCCATTAAAAAAAGCCACGCCGGAGAAAACACCACCTTGTACACGGTGGCGCAATACAACTCTCCGTTTGAGTTTGTAGGGAGAGTGAACGAGATATGGGTGAAGTTTGATAAGATCAACACGTTTATATTCTGATCTGCAATTTGAGAGGAAGAGGTTGCTACTATGTAAATATTCATGCAATAATACATTTTAGCTCCCTCTGATCAGGCATTCTGTTGGAGCTTTATTTATCGCCTTGATTCCTAATATATTGCTTTAACTCCATCTCTGATTGTTCATCATTGTTCAGTTATGTTTGAAAAATGACATTTCGCAAAAAAATCAGTGTTTTTTTTTATATATGAAAGCGCCGGTTTTGGAATCATAAAGGTCTTGAGAATGCAAATAAGTTGCTTTGGATGTTTAGAGCTTAGAACGAATGCCTTTTTTTAAAGTTTGGCCCAACAATTTTAGCATATGATTTATAAGAAAACAAATAAGTTGCAAATAGACTTGATTATGAAATTATTCACCATCTTTAGAGATTGGCATCCAAAATCAAAACACTCATACTCAATTACAAGTGTTTTTGGCGTACTTTAGATTTGGTTACGTGCAAAAATTATTCTTCACATTCACAACACATGAAGCCTGTAGACAGTAGACACATTTTACTTCAACTTATCTCATATTTCAATTTTTATACACATTTTTATAGATGAGTAAGGTTATCATTACCCAATGGTCTAGGGATCCAAAATCCTATGAAGAGGACAGATATGTATGCAAGTGATAACAAATATATTGAGTGTCCATAGGAGGGCTCTGTAAGGTCTATTTGACGTGCAATGTACAAGTGCAAAAGACAATGCAAGAAGTGAACTAGTTCCTTTCGTCAAAACAACTTTCAAAGAAACGATTGAGTGATTCATGGAGTATATGAACAACTGTACACAATCCTCTAATTGTCCAACAGATCGAGATTCAAGGACGGACGACGAGCAAGATCGCAACAACTCAACAACGGACGAAACTCGTCCAGCCGAGGATGCACCACTTCATCTACAGATCAAAAGCCAAATAAACACCTCATGGCTTGGACGATTTACGGATGTAGCCCAACCACAAAGAGCTATTTAACCAGCAAGTTCTATTGATATATAGCTCGTAAATGAAGCACTTCAAATTCATACATACTCCGTATTAATTTGTCTTTGGGAAATTTTGAACACATGGTTACATTTATTGAAATGACATTCTTTGGTTTTGTTTAAACTCAATAAAATTAAATTCACTATTTTGTAATTCTGAACTATTTATTATCATACAAAATATTACGTATGTAATTTTATAGTGAAAAGAATATAAAAAATTATCGATTTTGTTACGTTGCAACACATATGTTAACACTTTTCTAAAAGAATCATAAAAACACAATAAAGTTTTGAAACAATATTTTATACTAACAATATTAAATTGTGATATAAAAATAATAAAAGGGAGAATTGAACACAAGTAGTTTTTTTTTCAATTTTGAAATTGAAATTTAAAATTTATTTTTGGTATTTTTTAAAATTTATTTTATTTATTCACAGTCAATATAGGTAAATTTGCTCCTTTATACTTTATAGGCACATGAAAAACATTTTGCACGTTGTAAAAGTTAAGGGGTATATGTGCATCTCCATATATGGACTTTTATATTTCAAGGATATATTTTCACATTTCCCCATTGTTTTAATATTCTTTTGTGAAATATAAAAGTTTATACAATTATTATACTCCCTACGTAGTATTTTCAACAAAAAAGTTCATACTCTGAACAGTACTCCGTACGTAGTATTGTATCAATCCTTAGTTCATTTTAATTTAAGGTTAAATAATACTCCGTATATTATAATGCACCTTTCGTGTGGTGTGAGTAGCAGCCTGAAAGGTGATGTAAGCCCTGCTGGATTCGTCCTTTGGAGCCAGTACTGACGAGGCTGACTGTGATCAGATCCGGATTTAACTGTCTAGAGGCTTTGGAAGGTAGTTTATAGACTCCAGGATTATGGAAGCGTAAGCCCCGACACCTGGATTATATTAAAAAAAAATTAAATATTGTATAAGTAGTTTGAGACTGCTCGAACTTAAAATAATTAAAAATACTTCACGTAGTTTCCTATGCAAAATAAGCTGTATAAAGGTACAATGCCTTTACAGTGCAGGATTTGTACAAGTGACGTCCTTTGTAAAAATCCCATAAATATATGAGCGTATCACTACATCCAGATTTGTGTTGAATAGACCGATAGTATGTTAAAATCATTATAGTTTATTCTTCTAGCTGTGGTGGGAAATTAAAGAGTGTAATCGCATGATCCGGGATTCGAATCCGCAAAGTTAGTAATGTGATGTGTATTCCATCCCAACTCTGGAGTATATATCATTATAAGATCTATATATGCACTTTATATATACTTTACGGATGCTAGGAGTTTATTCTCAAAAACGAACAACTCCGTAGAATTTTTCGACCTATTAATTTTAGGAATTTTATCGATCAGGGATCTGAAAGATAGACAAATTATCAATCCGAGACCTGAAAGATGAAACGTATCAATATAAGACTCGAAAGATGAAAAAATATCAATCTAGAACCTCACATTTCATAGGTTTTGATTATTTAATTTTTTATTAATTCCAGTTGGTGAAAATTTTTTCACAAAAGTTTTTTAGTTTAATAAAACTAAATATTATTTAAATTTTTTAAAATAATAATAATAATAATAATATTTATGAAAACTTAGGTTCTAAATTGATAGTTTTCAATCATTCAGGTCCTAGATTGATAGTTTTCCATCATTCGGGTTCTATACCGATACATTTCATCTTTCAGGTCCCGAATTCATAGTTCGTCTATCTTTCAGATCCTGGATTGATAAAATTCTATTTTATTATTATATGGATTTATGGAATAAATAATCATTTAGACAACTTATTATTGCAAATTAGTTTTTGAGTTAAATTGTCAAAATAACATAAATATTGATAATGTGAGCGTTTCATTAAATTGACAGTTTGTGGTTTTTTTTGGAAGAGTTTGTGGTATTTTTAAACAATGTAACTTCATGTGTTCTGTTTCTTTCATGACAAGGACGATTGTTGAAGACTGAAAGAGAAAGACAGAAATGCCATAGAGTCAGGAAAGGTTTTTCAAAAGCAAGGTTGTAGGTATAGTTTTGCAACTAGGTATTTTTGGTGGCAATTTGGTCACCCATAAAAACATCCAAGAGAACCATTTTTGAGAATTTAGTCACCCATAAATTCTGAATTATTTATTCCGAGTACAACTTAGACATGCTAATGTAGCTCCTCTCAATCACCGAAGAATTTTAAAAGTAAATCCAAACATTTTTCAAGTCTTTTTTAAATCAACGCCTAAGAGCAAAGCCAAAAGTGAAAAAAAATATAAAACAATGATACTAGGAGAATGAAGTATGATAGGATTATTTATGAATTAGAGTTTGTTGGATAATCGATTGATTTTGCTAAAATTGCTTAAATTTTGGTTGAAGTGGTTGGATTGACCCAATTTGTTTAATTATATTAAAAATGCTATGTAGTATTTAAAATATATTTTCATAATCAAATAAAGAAAAACTTATATGGAAAATAACTAAAATGAAAATATATAGTAACTTTAGTCGGAAAAGTAACTGCAACCTTACTTATTTTAATTATGATACAAATGAGCACGTAAAATTAAAAGTTACGTGTTTAGTGAAAAATTAACATATGAGGCCGATAAGACAAAAAGCAAAGTCACTAAACGAGCTGTTAATATCATATTAAAAAGTATCGAATAATTTATTCATACACAAAATTCGTACTCACTTGCATTCACACACATTTGTACATAATTGTCTTTGCATAAAGACATTTATTTTACACAACTAAAGAGTGTACACATTTTCTATCAAATGTGTATAAATACAATTCTTCAATACTTTTTTAGATGACATCAAAAGCTGGTAGAGCAAATGTCTCTCTACACATGACACAAACAATTACGTATCAATTTAGTAAACCAACAATGGTTGATGAAAAGTATTACTCGATGAGAGTCTCGGGTTAACATGCTAAAATGCATAGGATCTATGCAAGTATCAGAATCAGAGTGTCACTCCCTTTCTGTCGGCTTGAGATTAAAGTCTCGTATTCTTCTTTTAAAGTATTAGGCGTGTTAGAACGAATAGAAGTGGAGAAAGTAGGTGACAATGTGCCATCTTGAATCTTGAGTGCGTCACTCTATTTCAACTTTGAATCTTTGGTATCCCCACACATTCCCAAATATGGCACTTTTAACCGCGTGAGGAAATGAAATTTGCTAAGCGTGGAATGGAATGAAAAATAAAAATTTCATCATTTCCATATAGTACACGTACGAAATCAAGAATCTACGTACGTTGACAGCCCACGTTTCCTGATTCGGACTAACACAGTGGGACTGACTCATTTACAACATTTCACCAATACAGCAAAAATGTAAGCAATGTTCTGATTATGAAGCTGCAATTTTCTGGAACCCGACCAGCCTGTTCACAGCCAGCCTAGAGCTAAACGCTGACGTCTTGTACTCTAACCATGTAAACTCTTTGTACAAACTATCCTGCTCTGCTTCCATCAATGACGGCAATGGAACTATCTTCTCCTTCAACGGCGGCCCTCCGAAGTATATCATCGACAGCCTCGACTTCGTCGTGTTCGATAGTACCCGGTGTCTCACGCTCTTCAATCTCCCGTTTGTCATTACCTGCAGCGTAAATCACGATTAGACTTGTTTCGATCTCAGATTAAGATCAGACTTGTATTTAGAAGAGATCAGACCAAATCATAAAACATCGGTGAAACGTGTATGGGTCTGAATCAAGATTATGTATGGTTGGATTCAACAACAGTGTTTCGCTAGCCTAGCAGATGTGACATAACCACTAGGAGGCTGAGACCACCACCCTTCACGGCCAATACAGTGTTTTTAATTAGGGGTCACTCTATGCCCATTATGAGGTATGACCACATGTCTAAGTCATTTAGATCCATGAGGGAGTTACAATTATTTGCTACACTTATGTGTGACATATTGTGTCTCATTGTCATAGATGCATATGACATGATTTGTATAAAAATGTTCATTTTCCTGTAAATTTATAGCTCATTTTGTCACACAAAAAAATGACCATATGTGATACTATTGTCCATTCCATTCAAACAGTTACTCCGTATGTAAAATTCTTTTC